GTGCTTTGCGCCGTCTAAGTGCAAAGTACTGTTACAAGATTGGCAGGAGCTTGTACCTGCACTCACTCTTGCGGGTGAACCGCTTGAAGTTGTTGATAAGTTTGTGTACCTGGGTAGTTGTGTGAGTGCTGGCGGAGGGGTGACGGATGAGATTTCCAACCGTATAATGAAGGCTAGGGTGGCATACATCAACTTGAGCCACCTCTGGCGCCGTCGCGACGTTAGCCTGGCTGTCAAAGGTCGGGTATACATTACTTCGGTGCGGGCTGCGCTGCTCTACGCCTGTGAAACCTGGCCTCTCCGAGCTGAGGAAGTTCGGCGACTCTGCGTGTTCGATCACCGCTGTCTCCGCAGGATTGCTTGCGTTCGATGGCATCATCGCGTGAGTAATTCTGAGGTTCGGCGGCGTGTGTTTGAACAAAGTGGAGATCACTATTCCTTGAATGTCGTCATCTGGAAACACCGGCTCCGGTGGCTTGGACATGTGCTGTGAATGTCATCCCAGAGGCTTCCGTACAGGTCTCTGTTCGCTAGCCCTGGGACGGGATGGAAAAGGCGGAGAGGTGGTCAGTCCATGACGTGGCGTCGTGGGATGAAGGATTTTTGTGCTAGATTAGCATCGGTTGGTGTGTCACGACTCCCTGGTTGGGGTCCGAGAGATAGCTCAAATCGATGGCTCGAAACGTTATCGGATATGGCCAAGAATCGTAATCAGTGGCGAATGTGTTGTGATTTCCTTCTTTCTTCCCTTCCCGATGATAGTTAACGAACACTGTTTGAACTTGTTAAGCATGACTGTTTTCCTTCCAGATGAAGTTCTTTATCCGTTCTCTACTTATATATATTTTTTCTTTTCCTTCCTTCCTTTTTTTTGATCTATGTTGTTTTATTATTATTGTGTGGCGCATCTTTCTTGGTGCCATATTGTACCAAGTTTTTATGCGTTTAAATAAATAAATAAAATAAAATAATCTTTGGTAAAGAAATAATTTTATCTAACAGGTTTGAGATTTAGTCAATAGGCAAAAAAAAACCATCATTCGGATGTCTTTTGAATGATAAAGACTGTTTAAAATGAGTATTCAGATGACATAGTCCTACCTCTTAGGTGAAGACGCTTAGAAAATGCTGACTCTTCTGAACACCTTAAGGAGTAGCAATCTTCGAAAGTTTACCATACGATTCGCTCCCGTCAAATATATCATGATCCTATAGGATTCGATTCTATCGACACACTCCCAGCTTAAAGATAGTGAGGAATTAAGCGATAGAGTGTGGTGACCACTTCGCATGTTATTTGGGGAATTTGCATCAGCCAGCCCCAGCGGGTTGATCTCTGACAAAGTCTCAGAACGGATGCAGAAGACTCTTTTGGTATCTACTGCCAACTTACTCCGCCCTTAGCTTAGTAGAAGTGATATCCGCCTGGTTATCGATCAAACCACCAAATTAGTGTGTACAGTTATGTCGTTCGATCTGTTCTCCTTCATGGCTGGTTGTGAGTTAGACATAGTTATTCAATGTGGAAGCTATGAAAAATCCCGCTAACTGTCTTTGATCATTGGTGTCTCTGTCCTATCCTCCGTGTTAGGTCGTATGTATAATAGGGGAAGTAATATTGAGGTTAGGAATCCATAACAATTCTATAGGAGCCCCAGTAGTTCAGTGATAACGTCTCTGACTACACCATTGGTTGACTCGAGTTCGAATCTTAGGAGGGGTATGAGTACCATTAGGATTTCGCATACGCACTACTGATGGGTGTGGACCAACCATACACGGAATCTAGAGTCAAGGCTTCGCGTCACTTTCCTCTAACCTCCAGAACGGCCCACTCAAATCAAATACTGATAATTTCCAATTCTATGCTAGACATGTGGACGACATCTTTATTATCTGTGATAATGGTCACGATCTTAATCAGTTACTACAAATATTCAACAAGTGCCATTCAGCTACAAAGTTCACTCTTGAAATTCAAAAAGGATCTAAACTTCTTTTTCTTGATGTTGAACTTACAAGGAGAGCTGACGGAACTTTAAGAAGGTCCATCCATAGGAAACCCACATGGAACGGCCAACTGACAAGCTGCTAAAGCTGGGTAACAATCAGTCAAAAATGAAACCTAATTAGATTTGTTGCTACTCGCGTCCTACGCATCTCCAGCTCTGATACCCTGGAGGAAGAACTACACCTCCTGAAAGAAATTTTCATACAAAACGGTTATTCACCAAGATTCATAGACAAAAACATCAGGCAGATAATCCAAAACCAAGAGACGCCATCTGTGCCAAGAAGATACTTTATATGAACGTCGACTTCAAAGGCGACCTACTCAGTGATATCCTAAGGAGGAGAATTTCCGCTTCTTTAAGCAGAATTTTCTTTGCGGCAACATTGAGAGTAATGTTCTCCAGTCGTCCGGTGATCTGCAAAATCCCAAAAGACAAGATCTCGCACCTGGTCACTTCTATGTGTATATATCAGTTCACCTGTCTCTATGGAGCCAGCCGGGTACATCGGTCGTTTCCACGTGTATCCTGTCAAACAGGGTCAAAGAAAACTATCCAGCGTGGCTGCAGAAAGGAAGTAGTGGCCGTATAAGGAGTGCAATAATCGAACATCTCGTCAACACTGGTCATTCCATCTCAACAAACGCCTTCTGCTTCTAAGTAATCTACAAAGTGAAGAACAACCTGCACAAAGACAATACGTTTCCGTCTTCTTTGCATTGGAAAAGCCATAGCCATTCACTTAGAAAAACCAGAACTATGCGTACAAAAGAAAATTATTCAACCACTTCTAGTATCATGATAACAACTCTGTTGATTCGACTTAACTTTTGCTTGTATGCTTATTTTTCTAAATACTTAAATTTTTTGCGTAATTCCGTAATGTTATTTTGTCTCCATGTTCACCCTGAGCACAACTCTTTCATCAAACTATTCACATTATTACGTAACTCTTCTTTAACAAACATTTGTGACAACTCATCACTTTTGTTACTGCCCTCTTATATCAACATCCAATTCATCTGAACTTATTAATTGTATTTTAAGTATTGGTTTTGTAGGGATTTTGTTTGATTGCATGGAGGATTTAATCATGAGCTGACATCAGTTAGAGAACCACTGGAAAACCTAGGAGTACTGGACAGCTATTTCGTCCTAATTTGGGGCTCTTCGGCAGTACGCACCCACCGGGATTCGAACCCAGGACCTTCTGGTTACAAGGCGAGCTCGTATACCATTGAGCCACTGGGACCCGATCCAATGGTCCTTGAATTCTAACTTCTGCCAATTCACGACATAGCGCGACCACTTAGCAATGTCTTCTTCGATGAGTTACTGCCTCATCTTCAACCTGCTGTACCCTATTAGTCACGGCTTCCCACTAGAACCCCAGGTTAACTGCCTGAATAGGGCCAGTCACAATTTTTAGTTTGACAATTTTAATGTACACACACATACAAAACAACCATATATATATGCGATTGTACAGCTATGAAAAATGAATTCACCGCCGCCAAAAAGAGACTCCTCACTGATTTACTGGCCTTCTGTCCATTTCATATCAAAATAAAAAAAGACTCAGAGTGTATCGTGATAGCAAGTCACATATCATGATAGCCACAGTGTAAACTTGATAGATAAAATTCACTGAGCACCATTATGGATTAAGATTTGATTTTGATTAATCACACAGTGTAGTGTTATACAGTAATATGAACTGATGTGACGTTAATTAAGTAGATAAAATCTTATTCATAATGGAGTTATACTCTACCACAGTACCCAAGTTTCATACTTATATTACTTAGCACCAGGCAAAGAAGTAAATGCATGATAGTCTTAGGCCATTGGTTCTTAGGGCTTCGAAGACTCCGACAAGCCAAACAGTCTACACCCTTTTAACTGGCTTAAACTAACAATCAATTACTTCATGAATTATTGCAATGTTACTATTTGATTACCCCCTCATTTTGCACCATTGGAATCCCATATCTGTCTGTTTGTCTGTTTTCGACATAGAACTTTACACAAATGTGCAGAAGTTCAAGTTGCCACACTCCCTCCATGTAACACACAAAGCAAGAGAAGAAAGTACAAGAAAAGCATAATAGAGACAGTAAACAGAGGTGTGAGACAAAGGAATAGTAATAACGAAGAACAAAACAGTTTCATTGGAAGTCATAAGTCACAAGGAGTGGATGCATCTGCACTGGCCAGCCACTGAGAACGATTTTGAGCCATGTCACCAATTGTTTCCAACCATTGATTTTTACTGTCCCGAGGACCCCAACCAGTCAGGAAGTCTACACTTTCCTACGTGGATGGCTTAAACTAACTGTTGTAGGTTTCATTGACTGATGAAGCCATGTTTTGGTTTGACCACCGCTAGCTAGCTCTTTTCCAGCCTGATCCTATTTCCGCTAACATTGCTCATCGAGGAAGGTAATTGATGGCTAGGCATACGTAACACATGTTCTAACCATCTTACTCAGTCGATGTAATTTCACAGCCTCGTCGACTGATTTCCCCTCCCGCCTACCTAGCACCCAACGCCTAACCTCAATATTGCTCAGCTTATTATACCACCACGTCACACGGAAGATAGAACGCAGGCACCTATGATCAAAGACAGCTAACCAGCTTTTTCATGTCTTCCACTCTCAATGGCCAGGTCTCACAGCCAGCCATAAAGGAGGATGGAGCGGACTGATGAGCAGTACACCCGCCGAATCCTATATCAGTTAAAATTGTAATGATATATATATATATATATATATATATATATATATATAATGAAATAAAACTTCCTATGTAAACCATTAAAATTAAAAGTACAAAACGTTGAAGAAAACACCAGTGATGTGGAAAAAGAATTTCTTCACAGTTCTTCTAAATCTCTCAGTTCCAGAAACAATTTTTCTTAAAAAAAACAACAGTTGCTGGCATACAACAGTCAAAACAATCAAAACAAATACGACTATTACTTACAATCATTGTCCGTCTAGCTTCTTCAACATTCTTAATGATGGTTGCATAGACAGATAGTGCATTTTTAATTGTTCTATCATCATCGGTTTCACAAAGTTCTAGAAGGATTACAAGAAGATATTTAAGAAAAGTAGACAATCTATACCATTTTCTGTTGTCTGTGATATACACGTGGATTCGTGAGCATACGCGGAAAAGTCATTCAATGATTCAGCATAATCGAGAAATGCTTGATTCAAATCTGAAAGAAGAAATAATACTCTGACAATAAGATACAGGATTAAAAAATAGTTATTAAATAAAATTAAATTAAAAAAAAAACTCAAAAGTACTTAAATACAATTTTCATTACTAATTGATATCTCCTGCAGAAACATTCATTCTACTTTAGGACTAAATATTCAGCAGCAGTGGGTACTCAAGACCACCCACCTACTATAGATCAAAGCTGAGACTTTCAGTAAACAGGTTAACCATATAACCCTTCGACCACTCACAGCAGTAAATATATGATCACTGAATTATAAACACCAATCCTTGATGAAGTTAGTGGGTAACTAGTGCTGACGAGTTCAGAACTACGAAGAAATAGATGCCTAGTACTCCCTGGTTACCAAAGATTCTCCAACTAGTGTGTGTGTGTGTGTCGATTCGTGACAGAAACAATCTTGAGGAAAACACTTTTTAATCTGTCACAAAAAATGATCATTTGAGGAGAGATTACAAGATGAAATTAAAACAGAATTAAGTTTCAGGTTATACACTACGGACTAATATCAGTTAGAGAACCATTGATAAACCATCGAGGAGTACTGGACAGTTGTTTGGTCCTCGTTTGGGACTCATTATCAGTACGCACCTACTGGGTTTTGAACGCAGGACACCGGGTCCCAGTGACTGAATGGCATACGAACTCGCCTTATAATCAGAAGCTCCCGGGTTTAAAAACCCATTGGGTGCGTACTATCGATGAGTCCTGAACAAGGACGAAACAGCTATCTAGTACTTCTTGTTGGTTTTCAATGGTTCTCTAACTGATATCAATCAGTGGTCTAACCTGAAACAAATGGAATCCTTACAAACCAATTTTTTGGAAACTGAAGTAAGTAGATTCTATGGAATCGAATCGATAGATTTCGCTCTCAATTTCGACTAGTGGGTGAGTTATGAGTTTGAACACTTTTCCAGCAACGAAGATAGTAAGATCAGACATAACCCAATGTATATGTTGTGCGTACTTGTTGAACACCATTCACATCCTTTATTAAGTACTATAATTTAATTTATACAAAATTTTAGACAGTTTACAACTCAGTATGACCTTCACGATCTTATGCTGGAGAAGCGCTAGAAGCGAAGCGTTACTTGACAACCACCTGCAGTCCTGTGCGGCTGGAGAGTGATAATACTTGGCTGCAAAAACCTAAATAGATAGGGAGGGAGTTTCGAACCCATGAACCTATGTTCGACAGTCCAACGGCAAAGTCAATAAGCCGCAGTTCCTGATATTATAATACTTTATAGGCGGTTGTTTACAAAACACATACATAGATGTGTGTTATGCATTTCTACATGATGGAGTCGCCTGTGTGTGACGTAACCATGAGGTAAGTAGTGTGTTGGGTTTAACGGTAAAATTCTTGAATAGGACAAGTAAGACAGGTGATGGATACAAAAACCTCCATGCCCACCCCCCACCTATAAACAGTCAGATTTGGCCAACTATGGGGAGATTCCCGTCTTCCCCCCACCCTATTCACCATCTTCATGCAGTAAGAGTGCCCCTCAAAATAGTGAGAAGGCGAATGCAAACGTCTGGCACGAACAAGCAAAGAAGGTGAAAAAAAACTTGTTCGTAAATCTATAGTGCAGATAGACTGTAGAATCCGAGAGAAAAGAATGGCGTATGAATACGTTTTTTTCCACTGGAAACCATGGGAACTCAGCTTCTCATGCTGCTCCACTAACTTGTGGATCAGATCTAAAGTCAAAGCCCCAGAGGCAGGTGTCCCTAAAAAGAAAACCACTTGTTTCGGTCTGAGAAACCAACAGTATTCAAGCTCTCGCAAAATCTATGAGATTTTGTGTGGTGCATCCCTTGGTGCCCATAATATACGGCGACGAACAGTCAAATGAACACGTGACTGACTGTTTTGAACACAGAAATTCGCACAGATGTACACCAGTTCCAGTTGCCACTCTTTCTCAATGTACCACAAAAAGCAGTAGACGAGATTAAAGAGAGGTTCAAAAGAGAGAGAGAGATAATAAACAGAAATATCAGGCAAAAAGATTAGCAATATGGAAGAACAGTATATTTTTATTAGATATTATAAATTGAAAAGAGTGAATGCATCTGCGTCAGCCATTCACAACGACGATTTTGAACCATATCACCTACCAAATGTCTCCAGCCGTCATTGGTTCTTACCATCCCAAGGACCCCAGCAAGTCAGTCTACACTTTCCCAAGTGGCTAGCTGACTGACTGGCTGGCTTTAACTAACTGTTATGGATTTAATTGATTGATGAGGCCGTGTTTTTGGTTTGATCATCAATACCACGTCTCCAACCTGATCCATCCTATCTCAACGAATAACATTGGCCCATATTAGTTTGTTTAGTAGATGTGTCACACAGTCATTGAAACAGTATTAGTGTTTACTGGATGACAAGGTTTCGAACACAATTTATTACTGTTCATAATCATATCGCCAATTATAATCACACGACTTTGAAACTTGAGTTTTATAGTTTTCTTTGTTCCCTCGTATTTGTCATCGTGGGGGGGGGAGTAGAATTTTCCAGATATTCGGGTGGACAGGTGTTAAATCATTCCTATTACACGTGTTTGCAGTTAATTCGATAAACGAAGCTTCCGTTATCAATCTCTCCCTCCCCTATAATGTTACACTTAATTTTAAAACTGTCATCTTATCCCATCCTATTGTATGGTTGTGTGTAACTGCATTCAACACCTGTCCCATACATCTGGAAAATTCTACTACCCCAACGACGACAAACAGGAGAGAACAAAGAAAACTATAAAACTCAAGTTAAGAAGTTGTGTGATTATTATTGATATGATTATGAACAATAAATAAATTGTGTTCGAAACCTCGTCCTCCAGTAAATAATACTATTTCACACACTCTGATGGATATATCTAACAAACAAATAATATGGAATTACTTACTACCACAGTGCCCAAGTTTTACACATATATTAAGGCTAACATTGGCCGTTGTCGAGGAAGGCAGGCGGTACCTAGGCTACCATGTGTGACCCATTGCCTAACCATCGCCTCAATCGATATAACCCCACAACCTTGTCGAGTGATTTTCTCTCCTTACCTTCCACTCGACTGATGCCTAACCTCAATATTACTCACCTTATTATGCCAACTAAGTAACACGGGAGATAGAACACAGACACCGATGATCAAAGACAGCTAGCTAGACTTTCAGTGGCCATGTCTCACACAGAGCCAACCATAAAGGTGGACTGATAGAACTGCTGAACAGTACACCTGTCTTTTGGTCATCATACAACCAACTGGATATCACGTCTACCAAGCCATAGATGGCGTACGTTGGCGGCAAGTGCCAAACGAGCCTCTTGTATTCGTTCTGAGATTTCGTCACCGATTAATCTGCTGAGGCTGACTGGTGCAATTTCCTAAATAAGTGAAGTGGTGATCAATACACTGTACTACTTCACTCCTCCCTATCCTTAAGCTAGGAGTGAGTCAGGATAGTCAAGTCCTGTAACACCATCTCATATTCGAGTGACACGAGTGAATCGCATGTCAAACACTCGAAGACTGTTGCTCAGGGTGTTCACAAGACTCTGAAATCAAGATATAAATAAGACTAATATGAGAGAACATAAGCTATTCGCCTAAATGCAAACTGGTCCAACGAGGAAGAGGGCTCTCAAGTGGCTGCGCCACAAGTGAAAAGCAACAAGTTGGCAGAAAAAGCATCCAGAGAAAATAGGACTTCAGGTGAACGTAGAGAAAACACAGGTGATGAAGATTCCTGGCCAACGGAAACAGCAACAACAACAACAGACAATAATCAGCCAGCATAAATGAGAGGAACCTGAAAGAAACAACCTCCTTTACCTACCTGGGAAGCATCGTTTCAACTAGAAGCCGACGGAACTGACAAAGATATCAAAGCTAGAATCGGAAAAGCAAGACAAGCTTTCATTACTCCCGAGTTTGTGTGGAGGTCAACAACACTACTCAACATGAAAAATAAGATCCGGATTTCCAACTCTAATGTGAAGTCAGTGCTACCTACTATACGGACCAGAGACTTGGCGGGTCATGAAGACCACTTCGAACAAACTACAGACCTTCATCAACAGCTGTCTCCTCTCAATAGTACTCAAGATCAGAGGGCCGGCCAGAAAAGATCAGCAACAGGGAACTCTGGGCGTGAACCAAACCAGTCACCGATTGTGCAACAAATAGGCAGGAAGAAATGGAGGTGGATTGGCCAAACTCTAAAGAAACCATCACGTGATATCACTAGACAAGCCCTCGAGTGGAACCCGAATGGGAAGAGACAAGTTGGTCGTCAGTGACTTGGAGGAGGTCATGTGAAGAGGAGATGAAAGCATGTGGACAAACTTGCAGCCAGCTGAAAACTCTAGCAGAGAACCAAACGCAATGGAGACGTTTGGCTGAAGCCCTATGTTTCTCTAAGAATTAAGGGAAATAATAATAATGACTAAATGCAAACAGAAATATTGGCAGAATAGCTAAAGGTTAGAGAATACCCAGAATCTACATTTAAAAACTTTGGGTACTTTATAACTAAAAATCGATTGCCGTAATGTAAATACACCCATATTTTCTTCTTGTCTTTATTAATCATATCACATTCCTTTTATTCACGTTACCTACTGTTCTGACTACAACTTTTGGTGAGGTTATTTAAAAATCTTTGTGCTTTCAGAACTGACTTCACGATAAACCGAAATCAGGGAAGGAATCTCTGAAAACTAAAGTACACCTTCCAGCTGTTTCCGCTAACTCTCTAACCTGCTGAGAATGCGCCTAAAAACGACTTTAACAGCAGTCCCATCTACTACTACCGATTTGGGTTGGACAGTGCTGAAATATGATGATCTAAACCGTATTGCAATGTAACTCTACATCGTATGCCTGTAGTCTTTCGTAGATTTAGAGTGGAAGACACGAAAAGATTAGCTGTCTTTGATTATAGGTGCC